ATTATTCATGCTTTTGACCTATTCTAACGAGAACTTCACCCAAAAGGCTAAATTATTAAGCACTGGGAGTCATCTTTGTTGCTGCTAACTAGAAAATTCACTAAAAAGCAGTGAATTTTTTTTTACAGAGATGTTTTTGCTTCTTAGAGATGAAAATTTATTAATGACACATAATTGCTCTCAAAATACATGACACATGCTGGGCGGTGGTGGCGCACGCTTTTAATCCCAGCACTTGGGAGGCAGAGACAGGCGGATCTCTGCGCTTGAGGCCAGCCTGGTCTACAGAACGAGTTCCGGGACAGCCAGTGCTACACAGAGAAACCCGAAAAACCAAAACCAAATCAAACAAAACCTCCCACACACAGAGGAAAAGATACCCTGACAAGGAAAAAGCAAACACTGCCATCTGAGTAGAGGCTTTTTAAGACATGATAAACATAGTTAATAATGACCACAATAGTGACCTCAAACTCGGAGCCAGGCAGAACTTTTCTGGCATAAGCGATATGCTAGGGTGTCTTCACAGCAACAAGAAAAGGAACTAAGAAACGCGTTGCTAGGAGTGAGTCTGTTGTTATGGGCTAACTGTCAAGCTGATTCGACTTGGCTCTGTGTACGTGCATGTGGAAGACAGAGGTTGACACTGGTGTCTTCCTCGATCACTTTTTTTCCCCCGTTTGAGACAGGGTCCCACTTTGTATCCCTGGCTGGCCTGGAACTCACAGAAAACAATCTCCTTCTGCCTCCCAAATGCTGGGATTAAATGTGTGCCCACTACACCCCACCCCAATCACTTTTCACCTTATAGGCCTCTCACTTTGGAGCTCACGGATTGGCCAATGAGCCCCATGGATCTTCTTCTACCTCCTCAGTGCGCCCTCTCTCTCTCTCTCTCTCTCTCTCTCTCTCTCTCTCTCTCTCTCTCTCTCCCCCCCCCCCCCATGTGTGCATGCATGAGTGCACATGTGTGTATCATTCCTTGCCTGTGCATGTGGAGGCCAGACGATGACTTTGGGTGTCTCTTCGCTGAACCCAAATTTTGCTGGTTTAGCTACCTTGGCTGGCCAGCAAGTCCCCAGCACCCACCTGTCTACAGCCCTTCTCCCAACACTACTTCTGGCAAACAGGAACCTTTGTAACAGTTGGACCCCAAAAGACAGAGCTTGATTAGTCACTGATAGTGTCCTTAATTTTTGTCACAATGCACCTCATCTTTGCACAGCTTGGGTCCTGGATCCCTGACTAGAGGTGACTAGGAAGGAAGAAATGACAGATACATGGACACAGAAAAGCTGGGGTTGGATGGTCTGGGCTCTTGGATGGAGAAGCCTCAGCACCCTAGTTGATACCATGTTTATTGTAAACTGTTGAATAGGGAGGCAGGGTTATTACATACAGATAAACAAGGAGGTCAGGTTATTATATACAGAAACAAGGAGGCAGGGCTATTACATAGAGATAAACTGGGAGGCAGGATTATTACATACAGATAAACAGGGAGGCAGGGTTATTACATACAGATAAACAGGGAGGTGGGGTTATTACAGATAAACAGGGAGGCGGGGTTATTGTTTAGAGCTGAAGAAGGGGGCAGGTTTAGCTAGTCAGGTAGGGGCTGTCTCTGTAGAGGAGCAGTCTTCAGTCCATAAACATCCCAGGGGAGAAAGGTCTGTGGGACACTTTCTGCACACACTGTCAACATTTGCACACAGACCAGAGGAAGGCTTGGCCATCGCTCTGAGCCTCACCTGGGGAAGGCTTGGCCACTCCCATGGGGCTGAGGCATCGGTCCTTGGCATGGCCATGTCATTTCAAACAATGCACACTCATTGAGGACCACATTTGCTCCCTACACTAACGCCAATTCAGGACCACCAAAGGTAGGGCAAATACTCCATTCTCCAAACCAGCCACACGGGATGTCCCACTTCTGACTAGGTGGTCTCTACGTCTTTCTTCTTTTCTTTGTGTGTATGTGATGTATGTGGAGCCAGAGGTCAACCTCGGTGTGGTTCTTCAGGTGTTTGTGAGACAGGATCCCTTACTGGCCTTGAACTCACAGGGTAGGCTAGACTGTCTGGTCAGTGAGCCCCACGGATCCCTCCATCTTTGCTTCCCCAGCACTGAGATTACAAGGCTCCTCACCATGCCCAGGTTTCTTATGTGAGTTCAGGGGGTTAAATCAGTTCCTCTTGCTTGTGAAGAAAGCACTCTGCCAACTGAGCTCTCTTTTAGACTTCTCCTTTTTGTTTTAAAAAGACAGGGTCTCAATGTGTACCTCAGGCTGCATCTCCTATCTCAGGCTCCTGCGCATTAGGATCACAGGTGTGCATCAGTGTCCGGCCATCATCTCCATTCTCTGTCAAAAAAATTGCTGACCACAGCAGCACACAATGGTAGTCAAATGCTGAAGAGGCCAGCCTGGGCTGCACCTGCACTGGCTCCTTTTGCAGAGGACCCGGGTTCAGTTCCCAGCACTCACATGGTGGCTCTCAACTGTCTATAACGTCAGTTCCAGGGAATGCAGCGCTCTCTTCTGGTGTTCTGATATACACGAGGCAAAGCACCCAGATGCATACAATAAAAATAAATACATGTGTTAAAAAAGATAAACCAATTTGAATCCAGTGTTTGGTGGTATAGGCCTGTAATTCTAGCTACTCAGAAGGCTGAGGCAGGAGGGCCTAAAGTCCAATAAATAGAGAACTTCAGTTTTTCCGAATGAAAAAAGCTACTCAGTTCTGTAGCACAGTGCTGACTCTACTGTCCTGTATGCACACTTCGAAGAAGTGAGGAGGCCGGGGAGATAGCTTGGCAGGCAAAGTGCCTGCTACACAAGCATGAGGACCCACCCATGAGGACAAGAACCCACATCAAAAGGCTGGAGCTGGTGGCGCACTTCTAACCCCCAGCACTGGGTGGAGGAGCCACAGGGAGCCCTGTAAGTTGTCGGCCAACCAGTCTGGCCAAATCCTAGGGCACTAGGTTCACTGAGAGATTGTCAAAAAAAAAAAAATAAAGTGGAGGGCAACTGAGCAAGATACTGGACATTGACCTCTGTCTGCACACATGTGTGTGCACACACAAACATGTAAACACACGTATATCCACACCCATGTAGCCATAATACCATCGGCTTGGGAAGCTGAGGCAGGATTGCGAGCCTACCTGGAGCAACACAGAAACATGCCATTTCAAAAAAAAAGAGAAATGCTGGGTCTGGGAATGGAACTCAGTTGGTGGAGCACTTGCCCAGCACTGAATGGTGGGATACACCAGGGTCCCAGTGCTCTGTTCTGGAGATGGAGGCAGGAGTTAGAAGTTCAATGTCATTCTTAGGTACATGTGAATTTGTGATCAGCCTGAAATACATGTCTGTGTCAAAGAACAGAAGCTAACATGGGCACATTTTGTGCCATGTGTGGTTTCAGATTTAGCAGGACAATGTCCAAATCAAGATATTGGTAGGAAAATTATGTGCTGGGTGGTGGCGGCTCACACCTTTAATCCCAGCACTTGGGAGGCAGAGGCTGGTAGATCTCTGAGTTTGAGGCCAGCCTGGTCTACAGAGTGAGTTCCAGGACAGCCAGGGCTACACAGAGAAACGCTGTCTGGAAAAAACAAGAAAAAGAAAAAAAAAAGAAAGAAACAGAAAAAGAAAATTATGTAACCAAGGCCTTGGTGACATTGGCTTTTGAGGTTTTCCTTCCTAGACTGATGTCAGCCTCACACATACGCCCACATACACTAAAGACAGACCTTGCCAACAGCCACTACTAACATCTGGGGAGTCTTCATAGAGTGCCCAGCAGGCCTCCAGCAGCTTCTCTACACTTTATCAACTAGCTTTGTTTGCAGAATTGAAACTGTAGTTAAGGTTTGTTGAGGTTTTTTTCTTTTAATTGGCTGATTCTACCCACATTTCTATAAATAGAAAAGAGAGAAAGGGACTGTGCATGGTTTCATTACTAAGGTAAAGACACTTGAGCTACACACACTTGATCCTTGAACGTGAAATCTAAGAGGTTGTAACGATCACAGTTTCAATCCTATATAAGGTAGTGAAAGCCCATCAGGTTCGTCCTTCGCTTATTCCTACAACTCTTTCCCCCTCTTGATTTTAAATCTAAACTGGTGAGTAGCTGGTGGTCCTCCCAGACCCCAAGATCTCCTTCTCTACATGCACTATATTGGACTTGTAGATTTTCTACTCAGAAATCTTCTCTTATAAACTTGGCTGGCACTTGGGAGGACTAGTCTTTCGCAGGGGTCTGCAGTATTGCAATTCTCTGGCTGATGCATGACAAAGCTGTTGTGTTTATAACATAGTTGATTTTTAAATGTCTCATAGCTGCCTATGCTGATTGATTAGGTAAGTGTAATTTTTACAGGAAGATTGAACCTTAAGAAAATAACTTTTATTTGGTTTTAGATTATTTAAAGACTGGGCCATGTAGCTCAGGCTGGGTTGGAGTTCATTATGTAGCCAAGGATGTCCTTGAACTCTTCATCCTCCTGCCTCCTGAGTGCTGGGATTACAGGTGTGCACATCAAGTCCACCTTGGCCTTTTTTTTCTTTCTTTCTTTTTTTTTTTTTTTTTTGGTTTTTTCGAGACAGGGTTTCTCTGTGTAGCTTTGCGCCTTTCCTGGAACTCGCTTTGGAGACCAGGCTGGCCTCGAACTCACAGAGATCCGCCTGGCTCTGCCTCCCGAGTGCTGGGATTAAAGGCGTGCGCCACCACCGCCCGGCGGCCTTTTTTTTCTTTTAACTTCAATTTTGGAATGAATTCAGGAGAAATCATGGAGTCAAGAGTGTTGGGAGTATTTTCTGTATCTGGGTTCATCTGGGTATTCTGTCCTATCACTCAACAGGTGCTTATCACATTTTAAAATTCTAGAAAAACACAGGGTTGGGCGGGTGGCTGAGACTGTGTGTTCTACACATGTCCATTTTCTCCATCGCGGTTGCTCACATCTCATTTATTCTATGTGACCAGGTGGACAATGAGCATCACGGATGTGCTTAGTGCTGACGACATCGCGGCAGCCCTGCAGGAATGCCAAGGTGAAGGAAGGGGACCGCAGGAGCAGGGCGTGATGGCACCCTGGGGGCTGAAGAAGAAGGATAGCAAGTTCCAGGGGAGCCTGGACTGAGAGTGGGAGCTTGTCTCAGAATCAAAACAAAGGGCTGTAGCTGCAGCTCGGCAGATAGGGTGCCTGCCTAGCATGTATGAAGACATGGGGTCCACCCCCTTCATTGCAAAGACAGGTGATATACACCCAAATTCCTTACACTAGGGAGATGGAGGCAGGAGGATCAGGAGTTTAAGATCATTCCTGGCTACATAGGGAGCTTGAGGCCAGCCTGGACTCATGAACCCCGTCTCAAAAACAGGCAAACAAACAAAAATAATAATAAAGTTGAAGGGAGACACGAGGCAGGCGTGCATTCCCACTTGCAGCAAAGAGTAAAATGTAAACTTTACTGAAAGATTCCAGGATCCATTAGTGGAACTGCTGTAAGTTAGACCACTAACATGATAGGGATTCCGAGACCTGAGTATGTGGTTATGTTTACATAAGAGGAAAGACATTTACTAAAGGAGTAAGAGAAAAAGTCAGTGGGAGCCGGGAATGTAGCTCAGTGGCAGAGCACTCACCTTGCATGCACAAGGCTCAGAGTCCAATTTGCAATACTGGGGGGAAAAACAAACCCCAGTAGAAAGGATGGGGTTGGAGTTCAATACTAGGGTCAGCCTGAGCTGTATAGTGGGTTCCAGGCTAGCCACAAATGAACAAGAGTAGGTCAGTGCACTTACTCTCTTGAGCCTGTTTGAATCCACTGTTTTCCACCAACCACACCCCTAGTACTACGGACTTGTGTGCAGCTTGTTCAGTGAGGAGAGATAGGGGAAGGCACAGAGCAGGGCCAGGAGAGGTGGGCAAAATCAAGTGGAGAGGGCAACCTGGGGCAGAGGGGACAAAGTGACATCACAGACCACCTAGTCTAGGCTCTCTGAGTCTTGAGAAAGTCAAGTATCCGTGTAGCTCAGTGATGATAGGAAAGTATTTTAATAGCTTATGCTTTTGTCAACCCAGGCACAAACACAGAATGTGATCCACTGAGAGTCAGGATAACCTCTCTGTTCTTTAGACCCAGACACTTTCGAACCACAAAAGTTCTTCCAGACATCAGGCCTCTCCAAGATGTCCGCCAGCCAAGTGAAGGATGTCTTCCGGTTCATTGACAATGATCAGAGCGGATACTTGGACGAAGAGGAGCTCAAGTAAGCTGTGTACTGAGCAATTCAGCATGGCTGGATGGGGCTGGGATGCAAGGTACCCTGTGTGCTCAGTGCTTTCTCCATGGCCAGCTCTGGCATTGGATATTCATCTGCATTTCATTAAAGAATGTAAATTGGCCACACTTCTACCCACACGGGGCACTAAATGTGGCACTAAAGACTAGGTACAAAGAGCAATTTGTTCGAGAGATTTCCTCTGGTGAATGAAACTTGACAAAACTCTTCAACACAGATATCTGGCGTTGGTTTCTATGGCAAAGGAGAGCTCTGCCACCTAGGCTTTGACTGATGTTTGTGCCTGTCAGATACGTGGACTCAAGGAAAGGAGGGAGGAAGAAGGGGAAGGGGACAGGGGGGAAGGGCAGATGGGGGAGGGAGGGAGGAGGGCAGAGAGCACAAGGTCTTTCAGGAACTTGCCACCAGCCTGTTGTGGTGCTGTAGGTTTTTTCTCCAGAAGTTCCAGAGTGATGCTAGAGAACTGACTGAGTCAGAGACCAAGTCCCTGATGGCTGCAGCGGACAATGATGGAGATGGGAAGATTGGGGCCGATGGTAGGTCTGCTCCTGCATGTTGTGTAAGACACATCGGCAGAGGGGATACCCAAGGGGTTTCCGGGCTAAACCCCTTTTCTGAGTTCTGATGAATTCAGTCTTCTCACCTGCAAACTGGGATCAGGCAAGCATGCCAATTGCGCATAAACATGTGGTATCACTGAGGATGTAGCTCATGAGCCCAGCATGTGCTTAGCATGTCTGAATTTAGTACCCAGCACTGCCCACCCCTCAATGCACACAAATTCTGGGATAGGGATGGTGTGATGGCTCAGTGAGTAAAAGGCTCTTGCTGCCAAGTCTGGTGACCTGAGTTCAATCCCTGGCACCTACATAGTGGGAGGAGAGAACCAACTTCCAAAAGATGTCTTTTGACCTCCATGCATGTACACACACAATTCTGGAAGACAAGAGCTGACATCTGTAATCTCAGCACTTTAGAGGCTGAGGTAGGAGGACTGTAGTGAGTTTGAGGCCAGCCTGGGCTACAGAAGGAGCTCAAGGACTGCTAGGATTACAGAGTGAGACTCTGTCTACACACACACACACACACACACACACACACACACACACACACACACACACACACACACACACACACACACACACACAATTCTGCGTTACATGACACAACATAACTATGACCTAGTCACTAACTATGAACTTAGAAAAAAATGGTTCCCCTGAAGAAGGACTAGCTGACCACTTAGCCTCCCAAACCATTTTGCAAGGTGCTTTAGTCCAGCTTGAAAATAATGCAAGAGATGTCTGCCAGGATTTAAACAAGGCCAGTTTACTGCCCACCAGTGGATGTATTAAACAGAGGGCAGGAGCTGGGAGGAGGCTCAGTCAATAGTGTTTGCCACACAAGTGTTAGGACCTGAGTTCAGATCCCCATCAGCTGGGTTAAAAGCTGGGCATGATGGCATGCATCAGTGATAACAGCAGCTGGTAGAGGGGAAGCATGGACACAGCAGATCCCAGGGGGGAGTGGGGGGCTACTCACCACCCAACCTAGCCAAATCAGTGAGCCTAGGTCTCTAAGAGAGACCTTGTCTCAAAAAATAAGGGGGAAGAGCAATTGAGAGCAATAATGATGTTAACTTCTAGTCACTACATGTACATGTGCACGCACATGCATGGGTATTTACACACACACCACCACCACCACCACCACAAGGACAAATAAGCCAACTACTATTCATGGCATCATCTATGTGCAGGGCCCTATATTCAAATGTCATAAGATTGTTCATGCTTGATTTTGTCAAGCTGCTAACATTTCTGTTTAGGCGATGACTCAGAGGATGGTATAGGAGAGTCCTGCCTGCGGCACTAATTAGAGAAACTGAAAATGCTAAAGCACATTTGTTTGTCTGTTTGGAGCACGGTCTCAGGTACAGCCCTGGCTGGCCTTGAACTATTTATGTAGCTGGAGCTGACTTTGAATTCCTGATTCTCCTGCCGCCACCTCCCTGGCTCTGTGCTTTGCAGACATATGTCACATGCCCTTAGGTACTTACTGAAATGTACTATTATAATTCACCACATGAGTTCACGAGGCTTTTATAGGTCCTAGACAAAATGGCTGAGACAAAGGAAGCTTGGTGTATTTAAACACAACCATGAAGTCTGGCTTGGTGGTACATGTGTGTAATGCCAGCATTTGACAAGCTGTGTAGTTTGAGACCAGGCTACATCATGAATTCTGGGTTAGCCTTGGTTATGGAAGTAAGACCCTTTCTCAAATTTAACATGCTAATTAACAAAAAGCTACAGTCCTGAAAGATTCTAAACAGATAAAAGTTGGACCAGTTAATATTAAGCAAAACTCCATTTTAAATTTCACTGTGCACCAGCCACAGTTTATTAGTGTCAGGGCTTGAGAGATGCTAGGTGGGTAAGAATGCTCGCTGCACAGGCCTGAGGACCTGAGATTGGATCCCAGCACCCATATAAAAAGTTACACATGGCCACGAACAAACCTGTAACCCCAGTGTTGTCTGAAGTGGAGGTAAGGGAATCATTATGGCTTGCTATCTTTGAGTCTAGCTCTAGGTTCAGTTAGAGACCCTGTGTCAAGGGAAGAATAATAAGAGTGATAGAGCAGGACACCCAGAATCCTTCTCTGGCCTCTGTGGGCTCACAGCTATACATAACACACACACACACACACACACACACACACACACACACACACACACACACACCATTCTCTCACACACAAAAGATTCTCAGATCATTGGTATCTGTCTTTTAGTAATGTAAACTTTTGAGGAAGACTAAGGTTAGGGCTCAGTGGAGGAAAATCTATTTAAAGTTCTACTCTATTGGATAATACAGCTACAGAACTGTGAAGGAAAACCTCCCATGTTTATCTGAAATGAACCAAAATCATGTCACATGTTTACAGTGAACCATTTTACCAAATTCCTTCATTGCTGGAGAAAGATGACTGAGCTGAGCTCTAACCTAAGGGGCTGTAGATATGAAGATGTTTGTTACATATAATGATACTTGGGGCTGGGGGATGGCTCAGCAGGTCTAAAGCATCTGCCATGCAAGTGTACGGACCAAAGTTTGAATTCCCAGAACCCACGTAAATGCTGGGAGAGCCAGGTGGCCTACCTGCAACCTCAGGCCTCACTTGGGAAGTGAAGACAGGGATCCCTGGATCCCTGGCAAGCTAGATTAGATGGATCAGTGAGTTCTAGGTTCAAGTGAGAGACCCTACCTGAGGAAGACTCCTTATGTCAACCATTGGTTTCCACCCTTGTATACACATGTGCATCCACACACATGCACACATATACATCCCACACACTTGCACATATATGCAGAGGAAACAGTGTATGTTGTTGCACAGGCTTGCAATCCCACGCCTGGGATGGTGGGGGCAGGAGGATAAGGAGCCAGGAGTTCAAGTTCATCCTTGGCTATACAGAAAGTTTGAGACCAGTAGTCTACATTAGATCCTGTCTCAAAAAAATTATGTACAGAAAGCTAGGCATTTGGCAAGCACCTGCAATACCAGCACTCTGGAGACTGAGGCAGGAGGATAATCAACTTGAGACCAACTGGAGCTGCTAGGGGAGACCCTACCTAAAAAGTAATGCAGAAGGCTGGATGGGAAGCATCAAGCTCCTCTGATGCTCACTGATGTTCACAGTGTCTTCTAGGCATGTCCTGAATGGGACCAGGCTTCTCTGAGAACTTATTAATCTCTTTTTTTCTCTCTTCAGAATCCTCCAGGGGACAGCACATCTGTAAAACACTGAGTCTGTTCTCTCCTCTTCCATTCTAGAATTCCAGGAAATGGTGCATTCTTAAAGCCCAAGTCTATGGAAGAGAGAGCGGAAGGGGCATTCTGCCAGGAGGTCTCCGAAGCCCTGGGATCAGGAAGCTCCCCAACCTATCCCGAACTAATTCCCTGAGTCCTCCTGAAGTGCTTCTGCAATGTGCTCCTTGTTTGAGGAAATGCAACGGTCTGTGGCTCTTCATTCTTTGGTGGTGGTGGGTATAGGTCCTGATGACTTCTGTAAGTCCCCCCTGGCAGGCAATGCCTTTAAAAAAAAATCACCCAATAAAATCCTTTCTCATCATTGGCTGATGTACGGGTGTATTAGTCACTTGTCTGTGCTGTGACAAAATGTCTGTCAAAAGCAACTTAAGGAAGGCTTTACTGTGACGCACAGTGCAGAGGGACAGCCCATCATGGCGGCAGGAGAATGAGGCAGCTGGTCACATGGCATCTTTGGTCGGGAAGCAGAAAGAGATGGATGCTGGTGCTCAGCTCGCTTTCTCCTTTTTCTCTGGTCCAGGACCCCAGCCTAGGGAATGGGGCCACCCACATTTGTGGTGGATCTTCCCACTTCAATTAACCTAATCTAGGTAATTCCTCCCAGACATGCCCAGAGGTTTGTTTCCATGGTGATTCAAAATCCTGCCAAGCTGACAATACTAATCATGAGAGGTTTTGGTTTTGTTTTATTTTGCGATAGGATTTCAAAATTTAGCCCTGGCTGGCTTGGAGCTCCCTGTGAGAAACCATGCTGGCCTTAACCTCAAAAAGATCCACCTGCCTCTACTTCCTCAGAGGTAGAAGGGATTATTAAAGATGTGCACCACTAGCCGGGCAGTGGTGGTGCATGCCTTTAATCCCAGCACTCGGGAGGCAGAGCCAGGCGAATCTCTGTGAGTTCGAGTCCAGCCTGGTCTACAGAGTGAGATCCAGGACAGGCTCCAAAGCTACGCAGAGAAACCCTGTCTTGAAAAACCAAACGTACCCAGCTGCAATGAGTGATTTTTCTCTTGTTTGTTTGTTTTCATTTATTTTATTCAGCAAGGTAATGGGAACAAAGCAAGCAGAGACCAAGGATTTTTTCCAAAGATCCCAAGTGCACTCAAACATTGAGTAAGCCACACTGGTATTGTACATGAGGGGACAGAGGAATTGTTATTGTTTGTTTTGTTATGGACTCTGGTTTTAAAAACATGTAAGTGTTGAAAATAAATATTACTGTCCTGCTGGGACATTAATATTCTCAGCAATTCAGTTAACTCTGAAGTTAATATTTTTCAGAGAGATTTTAGCCAGCATAAAATCACTCTTACATGAGCCAGACACAGTGGTGCACATATGCTCAGGAGATGGAAACACTTGGGTCAGAAGTTCAAGACCAGCTTTGGCTGTGTATGGAGTTTGAGACCGACTAGGGCTATATCTTTTCTCAGCCAGTGAAGGGTGAGAATTATCCTCTGAGCTCTGCAACCATGCTGTGGCACAGTGCCCTCTCCGCCAATAAATAAATGTTAACCTAAAAATTACTCCTTACGGGGTTGGAGATTTAGCTCAGTGGTAAAGCTCTTGCCTAGTAAGCGCAAGGCCCTGGGTTCAGTCCTCAGCTCCGGAAAAAAAGAAAAAAAAATCACTCCTTACACATTTGTTTTCTGCTGGTGGGTATGAGATTTTCATAAGAGAAGGCAAAACAGCTGAACGGGCTTATACAGCCTAGAGTGTCTGCTGTTACAGCTCAACACAACAGGCTCATCTTGAAGTTGGTTTGGCTTCTTTTTCCTCCCAGAGAAACAAGCGTTCAGATTAGCTTGCCCTGGCATGAACCCCACCCCACCCCTACCCACTTCTCAGCCACCATTTTCCTGGCTCATAAGAGACAACACTGTTTGAGGCGAGCCTCAAGGGTCCTATTACAGGGTTGGGGAGTCTCGAGCCAGGAATTTCTCATTAGGCTGCTTTTCAAGTGGCACCTAAAGCTAGTCTCTGGCTGACCCTGGAAGTTGAGGACACCTGAGAGTCCTGGAGCACTTTCCAAGGAGCTTGTTTAACAGTTCACTCTGTGTGTGTGTGTGTGTGTGTGTGTGTGTGTGTGTGTGTGTGTGTGTGTTGTATGCAGGTATACATAACAGTGCATATGCACGTGTGTGTGTGTAGAAGCCAGGGATTGATGTCAGATGTCTTACTCAGTCTCTCTCCACCTTATTTTCTGAGACAATGTCTCACTTGGACTTGGGGCTGATAAGGATAGGCTAGGCTGGGCAGTAAGCCCATCTGCCTCTGGCTCCTCAGTGCTGGGATTACAGCACCCAATGCTCTGCTCAACGTTTTGCTTGGGTGCTGGGGATCCGAACTCAGGCCCTCACTTTACCTATTGAACCATCTCTCCAGCCCCCAGGATCTCACACTTTTAACCCAGTGTCCATACTTACCATGGTCTGGGGCCCTCCTATGCTGCCTCCCATAAGCTAAATAGACTACCCAGGATTTAAACCTCTTTAATCCCAGTACTGGGGAGGCAGAGGCAGCTGAGTCTCATGGATGTAAGGCCAACCTGGTCTACATAGAGAGTTCCAGGCCAGCTAGGGCTACATAGTTGAGATCCTGATTCAAACCACAAACCCCAAAGCTATAGCAAACAAATAAACAAACAAAACCCCCAAATACTCTACATATATAATCTTCAAACTTGGTTTCAGGAACTTAATTTCACAGTCTTTATTTAGGAGAAGGAGAAAAAAAAAAGCAATGAGGGAGCCAAGAAGATGGCTGATCAGGTCAAAGCATTTGCTGTGCAGTTACACCAGAATTCAGGAGCTTGTGGACCATCTAGCCTGCTGTGTGCATCAGCAAAACAGCAGAGACCCTGCTCAAACAAGATGGACGGAAGTCATCCTCTGACCTCCATACACTTACTGTGGCATGAACACGCCCTACACACACACACACACACACACACACACACACACACACACACACACACACACACATGCTTACATGTTCTGCATAAATTTCTGTTTCTGACATTTCTACTCAGTTTTGACTTAGTTATAGTTTTACATACTGAGGGAAAACTTTAAATATGATAACACTCAGGACTAAATCAAAACAGGAAAACTCTAACGAAGACTGTTTGGTCCAGAAAAAGGGCTAACCAAGCTTGCAGGCAGCTTTTTTTCATGCTGGCCTTCGCTATCATCACCTATTCTGCAGATGACCAACAAAATATGTTCTCAGCAGAGTCGAATATTCTGACTTTAAAATGAAGGTCTAGATTGCAATATATTTTCCAGAACTGAAAAAGTAAGTGTCTTGTTATTTTTTTTCTTGCTTGTTTATAAAATAAGGCTGCAACAGTGGCTTTAGTTTGGACTTTTTTTTTTTTAATCTAACTATAATCTTGGCTAGAAGCTTGGAGAGGTAGTTCGTTTGAATGGGTGTTACATCAAAGCCAGCTCTGCGAATAGCTTCAGGGTTGAGACTCAGAATTACTGAGCCTGGTGGTGAACAGTGGCAATCCCATAATTTGGAAGGTGAAAACAGGATGATCAGGAATTCAAGACCATTCTTGACTACATAGTGATTTTGATGCCAGGCTGGGGTATTCGAGATCCTGTTTTGTTTATTTAAAGGAACAACAACAAAACCTTTTTTGAGACTGGGTCTCATGATGTAGCTTAGGCTAGCCTATAGTTTCCACATCCCAAATGTAAGATTATTAGCCTGTGCTATCATGCCTAGCTAACCTATGGGTTTTCAAAATAGTTCTTTCTGTATCAAAATGAAAATGAAGCAAAGCTGGGACATACTTGTCAATTTGCTTGTTTACACAGTTCTGTGTAGCAACTACAGGTTAGTGTTGTGTAAATGAGTGCTCACGAGTCCAATTTCAAGCAAAAACCTATCCTGGATCTCCTCTGCAACTGTTAGGGTATGGGATTACTTCACAAACACTTAAGAAGGCTGATGAAACCGGAATCGACAGGATAGTTTCCACTTGGCCTGTTAATTTATTCACCAAGAAGACTATAGATTTACATGTTTTCACTTGTTCCAAAAACATCAGCTTTATTTTGTCAGTAGTAGAGTAGATTTTTTAAAAAAGGGATTTATTTATTTATTTTATATGTGTTTATGTACCACATTCATGCTGGTACCCATGGAGGCCAGAAGAGGACATCAGATCCCCTGGAGCTGGAGTTACAGGCGGTTATGAACTGCCTGATGTGGATCCTCGGTAAAAGCAGCAGGTGCTCTTAACTGTTGAGCCTCCTCTCCAGGTCCATGGAAGGTAGATTTTGACATTTCTGCCTTTGTTTATAGCCCATTGCTTACAACTAATATAAGTAGAGATGCTATCTATTTGAGGATGAGCTTAAACTTAGGATCCTCCTACCTTCACCCCATCAGTGTGGGAATTATAGGCATGCACTATCACGCCCAGCTCATGTGGTGCTGAAGAGGAGAAGCGACTTCAACAAGCCATGACATACCCCTCTCCATAGTAGAAATAAATAGATGTCAAATAAAAAGCAGATGACGGCCGGGTGTGGTGGCACACACCTTTAGTCCCAGCACTCGGGAGGCAGAGGCAGGTGGATCTCAGTGAGTTCGAGGCCAGCCTGGTCAAAGCGAGTTCTAGGACAGCCAGATCTGCTACATGGAGAAACCTTATCTTGAAAAACCAAACCCCAAAACAAAACAACAAAACAGATGTAAATGGGCCAAGCTTCAGTACACATGCATGTGCTCCGCTAAATGCTTCTTCACACTTCAAAAACACCGCGGCCATGGCGCACACCTTTTAATGCCAGCACTCAGGAGACAGAGGCAGGAGGATCTCTGTGAGTTCGAGGCCGGCCTCGTCTACGGAGTGAGTTCCCGGGACAGCCATGGCTACATAGTGCAACCCTGTCTTTAAAAAACAGACAAAAAAACCAAAACACAAAAAACCATCCACTGCTACATTTCTCTTGAAATTCATGGTCTTCGCCTTTAGCCATGATAGACATCCAAGAGCCAATAAAATTAGAAACCCTACAGCCCAAGAAATACGCGGGAACCGGGTCTACCCGGACGTACCAGAGGAGGACGGGGCACGGCAGGTTCTTCTTCTGGGTCAGCAGCGACCTCTTCCGGGCCACGGCTAGGGAGGCGGAAGTGCGGTGTTCCCTAAGGCTGCTGTCTCTGAGCGGGCGGAGGGGAGGCTCCCGAAGTGGGGGCCGGGCCGGAATGGCTGCAGCGGCGGCCGGGACGGGGACTTGGGCGGCCCAGGAAAAGCAGTTCCCGCCGGCGCTGTTGAGCTTCTTCATCTA